GTACATCTAAAACAGAGTCAAAAGATTTTTGGATCTTGCTATAACACTTCCAATTAAACAATTTTTAGTGCAATATAGAACGATTCATAGATTTCCTTTTCTATTATAACATCAAGATGATTCTGGCTTTTTTATTTATCTTCCAACTGGTTAAATCTATATTTCGGTCTATAATAAATATAAAAAAAACTTTTATCTTATTTATAATGAATCTGAAAAAATAATCTTATATTTTACATTTAGAAAATTATAGCATAAGATAATTTCTAATCTTCAATTTTAACTATATGCAAGTGATCTTTGTGAGATTTGCGCTTCTTTTAAGGCTAAATTATTAGTCACCAAACAGGATATTAATAAATATAATAAAGTTCAAGCTGAGTATAACAAACATAAAGAGGCTGCAGAACTTGAAAGATGGCACTATAATAACAATATTGAAGAGAGCAAGAATAACTCTGATATTACATATGTTTGTTACGATTAGACACAAAATATTTATATACCGTATTTGTCACAACAAGTTGGTCTACTTTATTTTAAATCTTCTTTTTCTGTAAATCTCTTTGGTGTTTGTAAAATGGAAGAACAAAATGATCAACTAAATTTTTTAGTTGGTGAAAATGAACTTTCTGAAAGAGTCTCGAAAAGCACTAATATGATGTTGAATATGGTTTATTATTTTCTTCAGAATAAAAAAACAAAAAAATTGAGAATAACTTGTAACAACTGTAGCGGTCAAAATAAAAACAATTTATCTCTTTGGTTTTGGTCTTGGCTATGCTCATTAGGTTGGTATAAAGAAATTATTATTAATTTTATACTCTCTGGATATACGAAATTTATCTGTGATTCATTTTTTGGATATATTAAAAAAGTCTATAGAGATAATCATATTAATATTATTGATAATATAGAAAATATTATAAATAATTCATTAAAAAAAAATAATGTGATTCAATATAAAAATGGCACAGGATGGGTTTGGCATAATTTTAGTTCTTTTTTTAAAAATAATTTCAAACCTTTACCAAATATAAAACAATATTATCATTTTCGATTTAATAGCTTAGAAATCGAAAAAGTTTATGTTTCAAAAAAATCAGATAGAGAAGAAATTTTTTTCAATTATTGCATAATGATAACTTTAATAAAAATAGTTAATTGAATACTATCTCTCCTGAACCATTATTAAATGACCAATGAAAATATTTATATACAAAAATTCGTTAACATGTTGATAACCCTATAAAGATATTCTTTGCCCACAACCTTAAAATTAGAAAAAATAAAGTTTTTATTTTATAAATAAAGAATTCTTATAATTGGCTTGTCAATAGTGACAGAGCCAACATTACTGTAAAATTGATAATTTTGGTCATATGATTATAACACATGAATACATGGGGTTTTTGCCTTGAAAATAATCTTATAAGATATAGTAATTGCTATCATCAGCAAAATTTAAAAGGTGCTATATATCGATAGTAATCCCCTAGATTACAATCGATATACAACCCCCCTG